AATAATGTTTTAAAAAATATGTTGTGCAGTACGTGTGTTATATTAAAATGTACATTAATTAGTATTTATATCTTCATATATTTATATATATATATATGTATATATATTAACTTATATTTGAATTTTTCTGCAGGGATGCATGTTAAAGTCACTTGACTCTGGTTACATGACGGCTCAAGGTAGAAGCAGCGCCTCCGAACCGACTGGATTCGTGTTCATTTCATGTACAATAACTGGCACAGGACCTGCATATCTCGGAAGGGCATATAGACCATATTCAAGAGTTATCTTTTACGACACATATATGGAAAATATCATTCAACCAGAGGGTTGGTCTGCTTGGGGGAGTGTCGGCAAAGAGTAAGACCAATTCATAAGTCTAGAGTTCAAACTGTGTTGTGACCAATATCATTCCATATATGGGAAATGGTCCATACATTATATATATACATACTAATAGTTTTTGTTATTTGTGTCTTTAAAATTAACAGTTTTTGTTATCTATGTCGTTAAAATTGATAATTTCTGTTAATTGTGTCGTTACAACTATCAGATTTCGTTACACACTAACAGCTTTCGTTACACACTAACGATTTCTGTTAGTATATAACAAAGTGTGTAATCATACAGGGTGTATATATCATTGTCTATACATATATATATATATATATATATATAAATCGTTCTAATTTTTTTTTATTTGTGCAGAGATTCGATCACTTATGCAGAAGAGAATTGCAGAGGACCAGGTGCAAACAAGTCGAAACGCGTAAAATGGATGAAGCATCTAAGAGGGAAGGATTTGGGCTTCTTTACAGATGTAAACACTTATCTAGGAGGAAACTGGATGTACCAACTGCCTAATTAAAGCTTCTATCTTACTAGGATTTTTACCCCATTATTCTTTCAGCATTTTTACCCTATTCTTCCATACACAAAATAATGCATTTCAGTTCCGCGTTTATAAAAATGGTGTAGGTGTTATAAGGAATAATAATTGGTATACTTTTTAATTTAACACATCTCACGACACATTTATTAAGATTTTTTTTTTTCAAATTTGACTCAAAAGTGGATAACTAAAAGTTGCAGAATTTAAAAAATGAAAAGTGTATCAATTACTTTTTACGTGATAATACATGTTTAATTATTTAAATAATCTTAATAAATCCTTTTATGGGGTTGATCTTAGATGGTTGGGGAGGTTTTTGAAATGAAAATTATGAAGGATCAACGCATGAAACAGTTTACAGAAGAATCAAGAAGAATCAGCTAACAGAGCTAATCAAGGAATAAAGAAGGTAGCTAATCAATCCCTTGAGCACAGATTAAGGGAAGATTCAGTACAACTGTTATGAAGGCAACATTTCTGCAGCATTAGGCAAATATATTTATATTCCTTATTTGTATATATAATTATAGAATTTAGATTTGCTCTTATAATTGTATATAACAGCTACTCAATGTACAAAATATTATTCAAGGGGAATATAAGGGTGGTGTCATAGGGATAGTCTTTTTATATCACATTTTTATATAACTTTTATATGTTATTAAATGAGTGGATGTATTTAATATCATGGGTCTCATATGAATTAAAAGAATCAATCATTTAAATGACTCGTTATATTGTACAAAAAAAGGGAACAATAATGTGGGAGAAAAAAGTTGTACAAAAATCATTTTTCGAGAGTATAATTCAGTATTCTGATTCAAACATCATTCCCTAGCACTGTCTTCTTCAAAAATATTAGACTTACAATGCCAACATGAGTATCTGCAACCATAAAGTTAATATGAACTCCCCAACCTGAAAATCTACAACCATCTAGTTTCTACTTTTTGATTTGGGACTGGTGTTCCCCTCCGTCCATGCAGCGCAACAAAACAATTTTAGATTAGAATCGCAGTATTCCCGTCTTTCCTTCGCTGGCGATCTTTAGGTTCAACCATTCCTCTGCTATCTTTTGTGATTGACTTAGGTTTTTTATCTTTTCAAAATTAAAGTGTTTTTTTAAAATTTGTTTTTTGTAGCAATGTTGTAGTTAAAAAATTATAAAGATTGTAAATTTACAATTATGATGTATTATTAAAAAATCATAATATATTTTAAATAAGTTGATGTATATAATATCATAAGTAAATCTTTAAATAAAAAGAATTAATTATATAATGACATATTATATTATAAAATTATAAAATTAGAATGTTATGTG